AAGTGGTTCTGTTAGCAGCATAGTCCTATTAGCAGAGTGGTTCTGTTGGCAGTGAGGTTCTCCTAGCAACATGGTCCCGTTAGCAGCATGGTACTTTTAGCAAAGTGGTTCTTAGCTGCATAGTCCAATTAGCAGAGTGGTTCTGTTAGCAGTGAGGTTCTCTTAGCAACTGGTCTCGTTAGCAGCATGGTACTGTTAGCAGTGTGGTTCTGTTAGCGGCATGGTCTTGTTTGAGGTGCGGTCCCATTAGTAGCATGATGATAATAACAACCACAGCAATGGACGATGACTGCCCTCCAGAACCGGCAGACAGTGTTGAATAAATTAAATATCCTTTCATCATCTCTAACATCACAAGACATAACAGAACATTCAAGGTTTCCCTGGTTTCTATATACATAGTTTCAAGGTTTCAATATCTGAGCTCCCTCCAATCTAATGTCCCTTGTTTTTAGGGCAAAAGGTAAATAAGAGTTTAGTTTGAGCTTGAACATTTTATCTAAAGAAGATGGACTGCACTGAACATCAATGCCAGAGACTCTGTGATTATTTTAGGAGGAGCACAGTCTTGTGACTTTGAAGTTGACTCTTTGGTCTGCCTTGGGCTTATTTTTACTGTCAAACTAATTAATTTCATATGGGGCAAAACATTTTACCCGAAAAGTTAAAAAAATAAACCATTTGAAGATGGAAAATTAGAAAGGAACCGTTTCAGAGCAGAATTCAACATGTTTGCAGCTGTGACAACACACATTTGCTGTGCACTGTAAATGGGTCAGCTAAGAGGAAGTATTTATATCAGACTTCGGCGTAGAGATGGATATTACTGTTTTGTCAGTGAACAAGTCTGACATCACAAGTCTGCACTCAAACAGGTTTTCTATGGAGGTAAATATGGACGTGGAGCACATGACACGCTGATAAGCTGCAAACTCGTGCAAAGCCTCAGGAAGCAGCTGTGAAAGTCTCTGAAGAATTCCCCCCGAGGCCCCGTTTACCTGTGCTGTGTTGACTGCATGCTGCTGACATGAGATTTCCTTCTCCATCTCCCCTTCACTCTCCCTCTGCTTCGTTTTCTCCAACGTGCCATTGTCTTCCTCGTCCAAGCCGCTCTCTTGTTCCAGAACACGAAACTCCCAATCTTCAAAAGCCCGAACAGCAGCCTCCATCACTTCCCTCTCCTGAAATACAGACAGAAACCATGTCCTCAGCTGTCTGTATTCAACAGGCTTAGCTCTGAAAGGAGTCAACTTGGGGATCAAAGTAAAAATGCTCGAGTCTAGACGACAAGGATTAATCAGTAAGGCAGTCTTTATGATTCAAACTCCAACTCATTAAAAACATAGTATACATACAAAAATCTGCAAGATTTTGCACTTTTGTTTTTAATACGATGCAGATGTTGATGCAGCATCTGCATCTGAATCTGAAGTTTCAGCACAAACTCTGTACAAAGAGACAATTCTGCCTCAAAATAGTTGTAATTTATAAAAACATGGTACATAATCTTTGGCATATAAGCAAATGACAGTTTTCCTGACATAAATTAAAGAATTAAAAGCCCAACAGTCCTTGAATGGATGCAAACCCGACGTCTTTCAGAGTTTTAGACGTCTTCTGTTGAGAAATGAGGGAGTTGTGGCCATTTCTGTCAAACCTTGAAAATAATTTTACAGGCAATCTGCTGTATTGCAAGATACCGCACCCAAAGTAAGTATTGTTGATGACTCTGCTATTAGCAAATAAAACTTTAGCTCAGTAAAACTGTCACAGCCAGTTTGTGTTGGCTAACGTTGATTCGCTGTGGTGGCCACCTTCAATCGTATTTGACTGCAGAAATTAAAAATTGTAGATGGACATCCAACAATTACTGTCCAGAAGTTTGGTTAACAATAACCTAGTGGTCTATGAAATATTTTGCTAACAGACAAGCAGGGTGGAATCCAACAGTTGATGGTAAAGTTTTAAACATAGATTTTGTGTTGCCAATGGTTCTCAGGTACCACCACACCAAATTTTAGGTACAACTGACCTAGTAAAAGACAGTTTTTCCTGTCAGTTGGCTGTGGCAGCCATCTTGAATTGGTATGGCTCGAAAAGGTAATCAGCTGTAGATGTACACTCAATAATTACTTTATGAAAATTTCATTAGCATTCGTGGTTCATGAAATATTTTGTTAACAGAAACAGCTTTAAATGGTGATGGGACAGTAAAAACTTTTTGGTGTGCTCCAAAGTGCAAATGCAGGTTAAAGTTCAAGACAGTCTGATTATCAGGAGACCTCACATTTCCTGATACTCAACACATACTTCAGTCCTTTTCTGTGCATGCATGCAGTTTTCTGCAAACCTATTTGAAACAATTCTGACATGTTGCAACAGACAACAACCAGTAATGCAACTGAACCAAACCTGCCATTAAAAATCGTTACTAACGTTGACAGATCTGTCGTCTTGTTCCGACACATTCACAGAAAGAACACAATTCCCATCTCATAAAACTCACTTCAAGTTAAATTGTCTCTGACAATCAAACAGTGTAAAAGTAACAGGGACCCAGCACCAATGCCAACACACCCTTTAGCTTCCACTTGCTTTTTTTGTGTTTAAAGTGCAAAGTGAGTTTCAGTTGCAGTTTTATGCTTCATTTAGAAAGCTGCATTGAGGTGCAGTCATTCCTGTAAGTTCAGTTCTCTTCTCCAAAGCAATATGATCCTCAGGTTAAGAAATGCGAGTTAAAATATGAATTTAGATTAAAACTGTTAACAGATTTTTTTCTTTCTCTGTTTGTTTTATTAAGAAATACTGGATTTTCAGTCAGAGAAACATGTCTGTTAAGAGTGAGGAAATTAAATGTATACAGGTGATAGATATCAGGTGTGTTCTATTTGGAAATCAGCCCAACTGTGGTTGCAGCACTGGTACAGCTCCCATTGTTACACTTTTACCCTTTGAATTCCCTCTAAATTTAAGAACTGAAGCTTCAGTTTGAACCAAATTGGCATTCCTCAGTTTATTCTGTACTGGCCTTCTACAGTATAAAGATCTATACTTAATACATTCATGAAAATAATATAATCCTGTTTAAACAACACTTTGCTGATTTGATTTGTTTTCAGCTCTGTAATCTTAAAGGTACTCTTTGCAAACTATGAAATCAATCAATCAGTCAAGCCATCCATTATCTTTACCCACTTCTTCCTTTTCAGGTTACCGGGTTCACTGGTGCCCGTGTCCAGCCATTACTGTGCGAGAGACGGGGGACACACTGGATAGGTCTCCAGTCCATCACTGGGACAAATAGAGACAAACGAGACAAACAACAATTCACTCACACCTAGGGACAATTTAGAGTTACCAGTCAGTCTAACATGCATGTTTTTGGTTTGTAGGAGAAAACCAGAGTACCCGGAGAAAACCCACGCATGCACGGAGAGAACTTGCAAACTCCACCCAGAAAGGCCCCTGGCTGGGATTTGATCTGGCGACCTTCTCGCTGAAAGGCAACAGCTCTATCAGCTGAGCCACCGTGCCGCCCAAACTATGAAATCAAACTGAAAAAGTTTACTCCAGTAGTTTGCCAAATACAATGAAGGCAATTCTAAAATGCAGGTCCATACACGGGTTCAGATTATCCACCAGTAAGAGAAAAATAATGTGCGTATTTTCTTTTCGACTTTATATTTTGTTTTGTTCGGTTTTCATGACTTTGTAATTAGTACCTTTAATAAAAACAAACTATAAGACCACATATATACATTGTGAATTATATAACCATTCACACAATAGCTATTGCATAAATGAATAATGTCAATTTTCTCTGCGTTTTCTTTTTAGGAAATTTGGTGCAAGTGATTTTAATTCAGATAAGATTATCAAATGCCATTGAGTATGTTTGTTTAAACAAATATCAGCCTCTCTTGGTTCATTCAGTTAATTTTGGAAAATTAAAATACAGAGATGAACGCCAGATGATTTTGGACCATGTCGTAAATCAGAAAATGAGCAAAACAAAGATTTGTCATTACTGTATTGTACTTGAATCCTCTCCTCTTCCAAGAAGAAAAGGTGTAGAAATAATCAATATGTTATTCTGATGACCTCATTTCTGGGAGACTTATCGGACTGTGTCCAGTCATGCTGAGCAGTTCCACATTTGACGTATTTTAAAGATAAGACAGAAATATTGCACAATACCTGCTGTGCTACTTCTGGAGATGTTCACACACACAAAAAAAATGTCATCTAAAAGAATAACTTTTACATTTGCCAGTGTGTCATCACTTTGAACCCTGTTGAAAACTTTAGATCCAGCAGCATCTGCTCACCTGCTGCAGCTGCAGTCTGAGCTGCTCTCTTTGACTTTCAGACTGACTGGGGATCAGTTTCTCTTTCTCCTCATAGCTCCTCTTCAGCTCCTCCACCCTGCGCCTCTCCTCCTCCAGACGCTCTCGCTCCTGCATTTACACACACAAGAACAAAACAGTTAAGCAATAGTACAGCAACGTCGTTTTTCATCCCCCTAAAATAAACAAAGCCATTAGAATTAGAAACAAAACGGCAGCGCGTCTGTTTCTAGAGACACCCACTGACTTCAGTACAGTCCCTCGGTACTTCGCAGATCAACTTTCGCGGGTTTTCAACCTAAGATTGTGTACACGACACACGATTGGCTGATTGATGGAAGGTGACCAACCAGTGCTTTTCTCTTTTTTATCCTCTCCCTCTCTGCTCCACCTTTCCTCTTTGGCCGTCTCTCTCATTCCATTCTACAAGCTGTATGACCCAAACTGGAGAAAAGATGGACGTACAGAGATTAGCATGCGAACATATAACCCTAGCGAGTGCGAGTCATTATGGGCTATAGGGGGCGGGCGCACAACCCGTTGTAGTGTTTCTCTTAGATAACTTGCCATGGTGGGGCGCTCATCTCGTCCATGATTTGTGTGTGTGTGTGTGGGTGGGGGGATGGACGGAGACAAGTCCTGATCTGCACAGCGCGCTGTTTATACAGACAGTTTTAAGTGGGTGGAGGGGTGGGGGGGACAGAGACACAGCCGCGCGCCATTTGCACCAACAGTTTTTTTTTTTTTGGGGGGGGGGGGGGGGTGTCATCATGAGGGTTCATGAGGGAAGAAGCTTCATTTAGATTTTTAGCTAGTGCACCTGTATTCTAAGCTGCTAGCTTAATGTTACGTCAGTGCCAACAGGTGGTAGGGGGAGGGGGTGCGCGTGGTTCGGTAGAGGAGGTGTTCGACTCTGTTGACGGGGGGAGGGGGGGGGGTGCCCTGCTTGTATAATGGTAATGGAAACACTGTTGTGTGTTTTGTGGGAGCAGATATCCGAGTGAGCCAAACAAGCAACCAACATGGATTGTTTATTTAAAATAATCAAGCATGACCCGAACTGAGCCTTTAGTCCAGCCCCTCGGCGATCATTGAGCGGGCCAGGCCACCAGGAAATGTCCCAGCGTTCTCAATGTCCAGTCCACCACTGAATCAGAGCATATCCCGGGCGCTGAGTGGCTCAGTAACCGTAGCATCAGTCTGTCTGCTCTCTTTCAAGGTGTTCTTTTAAAGCGTTTAGAGAGTTAAGAACATTGTTAAGAACACTGCAACAGTGTGGGGTTTATAAAGCCTTAAAATAAATATAAATCTTAAAATAAATATCATCCCTACTTTGCAGATTTTCACCTATCGCAGGGGTGTCTGGAACGTAACCCCTGCGATAGGTGAGGGACTATTATACTCTACTACTTTTGTATAACAGCATTAAAAATCCAGTGATTGTTGCAAAGGAGCCAAGTTACTGACAAAATCTTGTGTTGATGTTAGTGGAGCATTTTGTGCCAACATGTTCTGTAATCTCTTCACTTGAGATATTCTCATCTCCAAACAAAGCCATCAGAATTGTAAGTTAACTCTAATTAAAGGAATAACATATTTTAATAAATATCATGGTTTACCTTGAGCCTGTCAGCGTGCTTGTGCTTCTCTCGCCGTCTGTTCTGCTGCTGCAGACCCAGCAGCTTCTGCGTGTGTCGCTGCAGCTGCTGCTTCTCCGTCTGCAGCTCTCCTTGCAGCAAGGCGACCTCCAGCTGCAGCTGAAGAGGGCAGAAGATATAACACAACTGAATCGTACTGACCAAACTCAGAGCAAGCCAGAGCTACAATGACTGTGTTGTTGTCTGGAACCTGCATGGGGTTTTAAACATGCCAACAAATACAGTTAGGAGGATTTCTCAGCATGGTGCCTGGGGTTCATCTAAACTTGCAGATGTGATGTATTTTTATTGAAAAAAACCAGTTACATTTACACTTCAAAATAAAGTTTCTTAATCTTTTTCCTTTTTTTTTTTTTTTTTTGCTTAATCTCATTTTCCTCCAATAGAAGAGGGTGTTTTGGGATAAGCAAATGGTTTTGTGTCCAACTGAAAACCAACAATCAGAAACGCTCACCTCAATCTTCAGCTCTTCCTTTTGTTGGTTGATCTCCGTGATGCGATGTTGGACCACTAAAGGCAACGGTGGGACCCTCAGGGAGCCCACCTCGAGCTTTTTCACACATGGCTGATAGAAATACAAAAATCAAAGCTGACGTGAAAGTTATGAAGCAGCAGACCGATGGGTCTAGGACTTGTGGATCATTGTTTTTAGCAGTAGCTTCATCTCAATCGTTCACCTTCTCGCTCTCGGTGCTGCTGCTCTCGGTGTCAGACTCTGCCCCTGAGGAGGTGGGACTCTGACCTCCAGCCACTCTGCTGATCCACGGCGGCCGCAAACCCTGCTGCCACTGGCTCCTTGAGTTTTCCATGTTATGTTGGGGCATTTCTAAAGACTGAAACAGAAATTAATAGAAGTTACAGAACAACGAGGGTTGTGGGGAAACTTAATGAGGCGAATATTGTGGTAATCTAATCGGCTGTGGGGCTGAAAGCATATGGAGGATCAGGCGACAGCTCACTGAGGGAATACCACAGCTGAAGAATACAACATAAGGGCGTTAAAACACAGAAATCCCCTGAAGCTTCGAGAAACTACATGCAGAAAACACCTAGCTTCGATGACAAAGGCAAAAGCAGGAAGAGAATTGAGGATGTGTGCAGAGGTTTGTGGTCGAGTTTCAGGGTCTCAGTGTGAATAAAACCGTGACATGCAGCTTTTTGTTCTGATGGAGGCTTTGATGTGGACCAGCAAATAAGACAAAATATGAAAGAGATGTAAGCCCAGAACATACTTTGAAGTGATCTTATATTGTACTTTTGTTTCGTCTTTCACATTCATGTAGTTTTACTAAAGCAAAGCATCCTTATGGACAGTGTTTATCAAGTTCTACATCAAAGTGGTTCCCAACATTTGGGAATATGTTCTCCTCCTTCAAACCTGTGGTAAAATTAAGTCTTTGTGCTGATCTATGTGGTTTCTCTTTACACAGAAACAACCACACCAGGAGAAGGATTTGTACAAAAACCAAAACTACTTTGTGGGAAAATACTTTTGATTCTAGTCTTGAAAGCTTTTTCCCACCATTCCCTTCACCAACTGTGCTGTCCCTCGACTGATACCTTATAAGGCTTCAAGGACGGTTACGTAAAGGTTGAGCGATAAACATAAAGCTCATATTTGAAAACAACTGGCACACTGGCATCCAGACAAAAATATAAAAATAGAAAGTATGGACAGACAGAGAGAACTGAAAATAACTACATGCTTTGTCTTATTATTATATTATAACTTGGAGGTTAGAGAAATTGCATTTCCTGCGAAAATGCAGTGTGAATGCTTATTGCTGAAGAACTTGCTGAAAAACAGCTGAAATTACCTAAAACATGTTGAAATGTAGCTGAACTGGAAGAACAACCCTAAGTTAGCAGAAGAAAGCAAAGAACACATATCTGTTGAAAAAGGTTTAAATAAGCAGAAATGAGCACAACAATTACAAAATTAGCTAAAAAAAAACGCTGAGATTAGCAAAAAAAAATTGCTGAAAAGTTTAGCTGAAAAGGAAAAAATAAGCTTAAAATATCTGAAAGAAGTGGAAGGAGCTGAAATAAGCTCAAAATGTGGAATTTGCTGAAAAAAATAAACTTAGCACAAAAACAGCTAAATATTCGCTGAAATAACAGAAAAAGCTTAAACTAGCAGAAATTGGCTGAAAGGAGCATAACAAGCTAAAATTAGCAGAAAGGAATTAATTAGGCTGAAAGTAGCTGAAATTACCACAAAAGACTTGAATTTATCTGAAAACAGATGAAGTTATAAAAAATGCTCCAAAGTAGCTGAAAAGGTACAACAAGCTTAAATTAGCAGAATAAGGCAGACATGCTTGTCCAGTTAGGCTGAAAGACGCAGAAATTAGTTTTTAAAAAAAGTGGAAATTGTCAGAAAGAAAGCTTAAATTAGCATAAAACAGCTATATAGTATCTGAAGAAAAAGATAAAGTGTGAAGAAATTAGATGAAAGAAGCATAATAAGCTGAAAAAAATAGCAGAAAGAATCTGAAATGAGCACAAAACAGCTGAAATAAGCTGAAAATCGCTGAAAAAATGTTTGAACTTGCACAAAGAAGCTGAAAGAAGTTGAACCAGAACAAAATGTAAAAAAACAGTAAAAGGTTGTAAACAGGTCTAAAGATCTGAAGGATGTAAAATGAGCTCAATTCATTTTCTATGATTAAAAAAAGGCAGAAAAGGCTAAATATTTCAAAAACTAAAGTTGTACCAATACAAAAATTCATAGCAGGATTGTCCTGAAAGAGCTGAAAGTTTTGATTCATGACTTGTTGAAATAGCTTGAAAACTGCGGGACGAGAATCGCACTGAAAAACGTACCAAAGAAAAATGGATCACATTTGTGTGAATGCTTCATAAACATTCACACTATTAAAGTTCTGCAGACATGAGCACAGACAAGGAGTATAATGAAGCAACTAATAACTGGAATTTATCCATTTAACATGTACTGTATATTTTTTTAAGTGCAGGTCCTTCTTGAAAGAAAAATCTCACTAATGTCGAATCAAAGGACAAAAGATCATTTTTGGTCTGACATGTGCAATTTGTCAGTCTTTCCTGTTGTAATATTCAATATTTGGCACTGATGTGCAAGCTCCCATGACATGGAAACTACTAAAAACGTTTTATTTTTCATGGAAATATCTATTAATAGAACAAACAGTGGCATCCAGTTTGAATGAATGAGGCTGAAGTCACAAAGGTTAGGAAGTATGACATGAATTCACTTCTAAACTACTATTTTTAACAGTATGTGTACATAATGTTTTCCTTGACTCCACATGGGGCATAAAATGTTAATTATTTTATAGTTTTTAAATATTTTGTGCTCTACGCTCTACAAGAAGTGTAGAGGACTGAACAGACTGTACTTAAGGTCTGTTCATGTTGAAATAAAAGACTGGTTCTGCAGAGAAAATTAAAATTAGATACAAATTATAGTTTACATTTAATTGAGTAAAAACAAACTAAAAATAAAATAAATTGAATTGGTGCAGAAGTATGAGGACAGAGCAGATGATTGATGTTGGGTACAATCAAGTGTTAGCAGGAGAAGTAATTTGTCAAGAGACGAGTTTTCAGCAGACAGATCACTGCTCAGACAACAAGCAACTCGTTCCACTTTACAGGTGCATCTCTAAAATTACAATAACATGAAAAGTTCTGTGTTTATACCAATTATTTCAGAAAGTGAAACTCATTCATTACACAAGGAGTGAAATTTATTTCAAGCCTTTATTTCTTGTAATTTTGACGCTTACAGATAATGAAAAACCAAAACTCAGTGTCTCAGAAACTTAGAATATTCCACAGCCATCTTTTGGCTCATTTGTCTGCGTGGGCAGGAGCCGAGTCCTGCTGGCAAATAAAATCATCATCTCCATAAAGATCCTCATTAGAAGGAAGCATGAAGTCTCTAAAATGTCCTGCTAGATGCTGCGTTGACTGTGGGCTTCAGAAAAGCCAGTGGACCAACACCAGCAGAGGACATGGACCTAAACCATCACTGACTGTGGAAACTTCACACTGGACTTCAAGCAACGTGGATTCTGTTCCTCTCCACTCTTCCTCCAGACTCTGAGACCTTGATTTATAAATGACATGATCATTTAGTTGCATCTGAACGGACGATGTTGGACCACTGAGCAACAGTCCAGTTCTTCTCCTCAGCAGGTAAGACGCTTCTGATGTCGTCTCTGGTTCAGGAGTGGCTGGACTTGAGGAACGAGACATTTGTAGCTCATGTCTAGAAGTTATCAGCTGATTAGGGTGACACCACGAGCTTACAATACTGAACCACAATATTCCACAACAGGTCCTTCTTCTACTCCGCTCCAGTTTCCTGGAATATTTTGCAAAAAGATCTGAAGTTCTCAACCTTGACCCCTCTAAGTGTCTTTAAGCATCTGTTAAGTTCCTGACAAAAACCAAAACAGACATGTTCCTGTTTTTAGTTTCTACACTGCTTTACAATCTAGCTGTTTTTCTCACTAATTATCTTTTTAATTACCATTTTATTTTCATTTGTTAAAAAAAATATTATTATGGAGCATGCATCAGGATATCTGTGTAACAAATCTATATAACATACGAGTTTTCACTTTCTGAAAAGAATGACAAAAAAATAATAACATTTTCATGATATTCTAATTTTTTGACATGCACCCGTAGTAGACCCACAAAACTAAACTAAATAAAAACAGTTAAAACTCACGCCTGAGTGAAAATGTTTAATCCGCATCTTCTTCCACACAAAACAGCTCCACAGTTATTTAATGGGTCCAACTGAAATAAAAAGACACTACTTTTCTTATTTTAGTTTGAAAATCTTATGAGGCAGATTTATTTATCACTAATAATTCTGGATGTCTGCTGTGGGTTACATGCACATGTAGTGATATATAGAGCTTTAAATAAAATAATAAATAATTAAACACCGCAGTAATTATATTTTAACTATGACAAAGACATTTAAAGCAGTCACCACATACAGCAAACACAGACAGAAGGGAATGTGGACCAGATTGACATGAAACCAAGAGGCCATGCCGCTTCTGAATCCTCTTAAAATACTTTTATCTCTCGGATGAACAGTAAAATTTTATGCTTTTCCTCATTAACCTTTTGGAGTACACTGAACGTCACTGACTTCCAATGACAAGACGACGACAGATTCATGAGTCATCTCATGATTCAACCGTCAGTGGAAGTGTTTGACGTCCAGCTAAAGTCCAGGCAGATATCCTATCAAGTATTACGGAGTAAAGTCCGTGTTTCATGTTAACTCACTGGTGTACACAAATAAAAAGGAAAATTAAAAAAAAAAAAACTGATCCTTCAAATGTCCTGATGATACAAGGAAAATGAGATGAGAAAAAAAAAAACTAAAGTTCAGCCTGAGAGTCGGATCAAAGAACAAAACAATGTTCTGGGCACAGAATAATTGGACCTGATTGCAGGGAGGGGAGCACCTCTGGGGAGAAAGATGGAGTCAAGAGTTGCACTTCAACATCCGGTGCACTTTCTTGTGCAACCGCACATAACATTCATCTCTAAATGTATTCATGCAAAGTGTAAGCACACTACATTTAATACAAATCAGTAACAATAATAATAATAACATGAAAATGTGAAGAAGAAAAAAGGATTGAGAAACATTCAGATCAGCATGAGGGAGTGAACGTGAGCACAAGAATCAGGGAGGGGAGGAATGCTGTTCCGAGTCATATCGTCTCACTCTGAGCTCACATCAGCAGGTCTTATCACTCCGTTCACTCTGAGCCTCACATC